GTGTGTATGTGTGTGTGTGTGTGTGTTTGTGTATTATTTTTCTATTTATTTTTGTTTAAACCGATATATATATAATTAGCTGTCGATTTGAACGCACCCCCCCCCCCAAAAAAAAACTTCAATATTTGTCTATAGCTCTGAGATGAGGTGTTATGATTAGTGACATTATTTACATTATTCGGACTGTTCATCTCCATTGCCATATTCACCGGTGGACCTGTGTGGATGAATTAATCGGTTCGATTCGAAATTTTAATCCCCTGAAGAAGGCCCGAGCGTACAACGGCCAAAATGCTGTGAATATGGCAATGAAGATGAGGATGACAGTTAGAATAATGTAAATAATGTAAAAAAACAAAACAAAAAAACCTTGTCGAAAAGTGTATCACAGCTTCTTGCCAAGAGTTATCTCCCTTGTAGTAAATCAAAATTGATTCGCGTATTGCGACATTTTCCAAACTGATTTTTGAAAACATGCAGAAGTTTTATATTTTATTAGTTCGGTGCCTGGTGGCAAGATGATCAAATTTTAGATTTAAATTGTTCATGTGTTTAAAATGCGTTTTTTAGAAAATATATTCAGTTTATATATATATATGAAAAGAAATAATAAAAAAATGACTTTAAAAAGTTGTTTTCAGACAGAAAGTGAAATTAATCCTTACGGCATAGATGCTGATATCAATTTCATTCAAATCACCCGTGTTTGCGCATATATAGTTTAATTCAATGGTAAGTCTAAAAAATATTTCTGCAGCATTTAAATAAAAACATTTTCGAAAAATTCAATAAACTTTTTTTCTTATTTCCTAATTTTATATTACTCATCTCAGGGTAAGTGTTGTCCAGACTGAGTTCGAGAGAAACGTATTTTTACCAATATCTTATTTCAAACTCAGTCAGACAGTGTATGCGTTATGTATGTGTTCGTGTGCATGTGTTTGTGAATAGATTAAACAGTACGAACATATGTAAATCACACACGCAAATACAGACAAACGCATATGCAAATTTACACGGAGACAGAAAATAAGATTCCCAAACTTATCTCTGGTTATGACTAAAGCTCTATTGATATTTTTTTAATCAATATTGCTCGTTTTATCATCTTTCAAAATATAGGCGCCAAAAACAAAATTCGCAACGTGAGATCATTTTTTTTTTCTTATAGCGTGGATATAAAAGATTATCTGACTTGACAGTTCTGTGTTCAACACTGAGCTGTCGTATTGAGCATTGTATTACCAAGAAAATCGGTTCACTGTGTCATGCCAGATAATTTTTCTCACCCGAATCTGTCTAGCACGTTTATAAGTCTATCATTCCGTCAAATATTGCTGCCAGATCTGGTCTGGCACTCCGACGAAAAAAGCGATACTTAAAGTTTAAAATGCATTTTAAAAAATCAATTTTTTTCTTCTTAAAGTATTTATTTTAACTTAAATTCCAAGCTAATAGATTAAGTTTAATATCCTCAGTAAGCAAAATACTTTGGCGTCTTTCAAACCGAATTTAAACTTTTTGGAGCGCTTTTTCTTCTAATCAGTAAAAATCAATAAATTCGTCGATATTTACAAATCTGCCAATACAGCAGAATTCTCTTAAAAAAAAAAAAAAAAAAAACTCTCAAAAATAAAATATACGTCCCGGAAACGTTATTCCAGGAAAATTAGCTAATCTAAAGCTTAATTAATTGGAATGGAAACAAATATTTGTTTTTAGTTTAAAATATCGCAGAAAAGTATCTTTTTTTAAACGGATTGGATGTTTTTTAAGTGTTAAGTTATTTATTAACAGCATGATGTTTGTGAAATTGAATTAGGAAGACATTAACTAGAAAAGTTACATGACGAATACAACGTAAAAGCCTTTTTATATAATTTTTTAACTACCCAGTAACCTTAAAAATTTCAAATATTTTAAACATTCTAATATTTTATTGAATTTTAGATACTTTAACGTTATAGTCATACTTACGAAAGCGTCTGTTGAGAGAATGTTAGAAGATTATCAATAAATTTTATATCTACTACTGATACCGTACTTATTTTCTGATAATGTTGTGTATGGGCGTCCATATTTCTAAAAATTGACACATTTATATGCACATAAAAAAATTCAAAATTCTTTTTAAAATATTGGAGATCACTGAATTCTAGTGAACCTTTCCATTTACGATTAGTAAATAGAGTTTTAATCTAATAACGATATCACTTGACCGCTACCCATTGTCGTTTCTTTTAAATTCCATGTTTTGTGTTTCTTATATTTACCCGAACTCAAATGAGTCCGCCAAATATTGTTTGCGGGACAAATGTACCCGGAACCATAGATATTTACTAAAACAAAGTCCACCTATTACAACAAAAGAAGTGAGTCCCGCAACAAAAGTAAAGATTTAGAATCTCCAGCCCAGATTATGCCACTTGACATTGCTAAAGAAAGAAAGAAAGAAAGAAAGAAAGAAAGAAAGAAAGAAGAAGAAGAAGAAGAAGAAGAAGAAGAAGAAAAACAAGTGTATTATAAAAGTATAGGTGGTGAGGGGTTAATTGAAATGTAGATACGTTTTTATCCAGACTCATAGGATTGATACCCTTGCTTTTCTCACCTTCTTCTTCTTCTTCTTCTTCTTCTTCTTCTTCTTCTTCTTCTTCTTCTTCTTCTTCTTCTTCTTCTTCTTCTTCTCTTTGTTTATTTATTTTTGAAATCAACAATATAGCGTTCATTAGTTAAAAAAAAAAATAAAGCGTTAAGACGTTATTTGATAAAAATTGCCTAAGGATACCGTAAGGTTGAAACCAAGGTAGCGTATTGAACTGATCTCCTGAGTTTTAAAATTAAAAGCTCTACATGTTAGTTTTACTTTTATTTTATTTTATTTTTCCCACCTGTATGGAGCACTTTTTAATACCACTGTTTCCTGGTCTGATTCAACTCTGACCATTAACCTTTTATGCATTATATATATATATATATATATATATATATATATATATATATATATATATATAAAATAAAAATAAATAAAAAAGACATTTTTATGTTAATACAGTCTTTATATAGATACAAATATTTTAAGTAAATGCTCTGTTTTTAATAATAAACATTTACCGGCCTGAATGTCCGAGAAATTTTCATAGAAAATATTCATCCTCCGACAGGAATCGAACCTGTATCCTATACGGAACTGCCATATAGCCTGACGTGCCTTAACCGTTTCGGCCACAGAGGAGCGTTTGGTTAGCAAGGTCGATTTTACTGTCTTTAAGCCACAATCTTCCATGATTCTCTCACGTACATTCATATCTGCTCATAGCGTATCCAAATGTAAACAAATGACGTCACACATTATGAAATGGACAAAGTCCGACAATTATTTTAAGACATTTTTATGTTTATACATTCTTTTTATGGATACATAAAAATGTCTTAAAATAATTGTCGGACTATTATGTTATTATGATGTATATATGTTATATTTTACGAACCAGAAACAGGAGTCAAACAAAGTTCAACATACCGTTATCATTACGATAGATAAAACCTTTACTTATAATTAATTTTCTTCTCAATATTCTTGAACCTTTAGCACTCTCCCTTATTAATATTACTTCCTTTTTCATTGCATTCTTTTTCAAAGCCTCTTAATTGCAATATCCTTACTGGCAATTTCAAGCAAAGTTGTTTTCTGTTGCCATAGCAGGATATAACAACACAACTATGAAATTCAAACACACTATTGTTCAGGGATCAGAACATTTTGTACAGCAAATGAAGTCACATGCAGTGCAATAAAGGTTTAAAAGCACAAAGCTAGTCAGTCAGTTTCTGTGCCATTCGTGATACACGCTTAGGCGATCATGTATCTTTCGATAAATGACTGACGAGGAAGATTTTTTCCCGCAGTAAGTTGCCATTTCTTTTCTGCGATAGACCAGTTGTGATCCAAGCCTTTAGAACCTGGTCTGTCCTGTTATTTACCCTTAGCTGGGAGGGGAGGAGAAGAAGATTCATACCTTTCCCAAGACTATTTGCGCATAAGTGAATATCAGTCAGTTATGTGCCATGCGTGATAAATGCTTAGGCGATCATGTATCTTTCGATACATGACTGACGAAGCAGATTTTTTCCCGCAGTAGGTTGCCATTTCTTGTCTGCGGTAGACCAGTTGCTATCCAAGGCTATAGAACCCGGTCTGTCCTGCTATTTACCCATAGCTTGGAGAAGAAGAGGATTCATACCTTTCCCAAGAGTATTAGCACATAAGTAATTGGATCTGACCGGAATTCGAACACGGCTCTCTGATTTCTCAATCCGAGCCGCTATCCATAACTCCATCGTACCTCCTAAAAGCTACCCAGTTCTTTTAATTCTGTGACGATAGACATTAAAATATCAACAAAGTTCACAGTTATGTTTTGGATCGTTCAATCGATCTTGGTTGCCAACAGAAGTGTTTCGCAATATTGTCTCTCGTCTCAAAGATGCGTGTGTATGCACATATCTGTTTATAGGCGTTACAATTTAGACTCTCCAATTTAAAAGACACTCGTGTGTGTTACTATATAGATTAGTTGCAAAGAACAACGGTCTCATCACGTTTGTACGTGTCAATCTGTCACTGGGTGTGTGGTTATATCAACTGCTTGTGTCTGCAAATGTCGTAAAGGCGTCGTTATGTATGAGTGCAGACTTCTGTACGCGTCTTTCATCCCGTGACTGCGTGTGGGTGCAATTTTATTTTCACAGTTAATTTAACTTTAATCAATCAGCGAAGTGTCCACACGGACGACTGCAATCAGATGTCTGGAATTGATAATAATTTTAATTGGAAAATCATCCATTCAAAAGAGATAGATAGAAACTGGTTAAGACAGACACATCGATATAGATATGAACACATTTAGATAGATAGATAGATAGATAGATAGATAGATAGATAGATAGATAGATAGATAAAGTAGACAAGAACAGATAGACAGAGCAAGAGAGATAGATAG